TAATGATGATAATGATGATAATTATAAATACAAATTTTAATGTTGTTCTAGTTGTTTTTAATATTATTTAAACCAACAAAGAATGTGAGTTACTTCCCAATATTTTGACATGATGACCAATATCTGCATGTTCTCCAGCTGTCATGTGCATGGCATGAATATCATAACCTTCATTCATCTATTAATGAACCTAATGAAATATGTGTAGGGATTTTAAGAACTCGGAAGGACACTTACAAAAATACAGAATTTTCATTTGATAAAATGTAATTATTTCTGTAGTGAGAAATAAATTGGTATGTGATTTTGTAGAATGTGGATCAGATTTTTTTTTTTTTTAATCTGTATTTTTCATATAATATCTACAGTTTATAGAGTGTTCAAGTGTCTATTTGAGGTTACATGTTAATAATTACTGTAGAGAGCAAAGAATGCTGAAACAAGTATGTAGTTTCAAGACCTTAATGATCATGTTATGTTTGTACATGTTATAAAAGAAAACTTTTATACACAGCTTATGTTGTATGATTCATAATCTTGCTGAGATCTACATATTAGAAATTGTTTGACCTTTTTATCTTTCATGCTGAGAATAGTTACTATTTACTGCTTTTTAAACCAAGGGGTATTGCATAATGGTAAACTTTATATCAGATATCTGTGGTATGTACTTTATGATATGTTAAGGGAGGAATACCCAGAAAAATGAAGGGTAAGTAATATGGGTATGAAGTCAGTCAAAGTTAGGAATTTCTGTTTTGAATTTCAGTTTTGGATAAGCGAAAAGTGCATCATTTTCCATAGAACAGTTATCCAGTATCTCAATTTGTCTATTATCTCTACCTTCATTGCAATAAAGAATACAATGTCATAATGGTTCTGAAAAAGGAAAATAAAAGGAAATGCCATCCTTTCTGGTCTTTAAATGAAAGAAAAAAATTGTTATAATGTTTTGTAATCAGTGACCTACAGCACAGATTACCTAATTACATTTTAAGGTCAAAAAGAAGTTTTGTGTTCAACAACGGTGTACTAAATCAAGCCAAAATTAAATAGATATCAAAGATGTCATCTGACATTATCACTTGCATCATCATAATCTTAATTATATAATATCAGTATGATCATTTTCATTACCAATGCCCTTTTCCCATTTTTATACCCCTCTCATCACATCCATATATCACAGACAGTGGAAAGTCGAGGTACTCAGCTTTTCCTGAAGGAGCAGAGGACAATGAAGATCACAGCCTCGTCACGCTTGAATGGGACACTTGTTCTCCCGACTACATATTGGTGGCATATAGGGGTGGCTCGTTGTGGCTTGTGGACATCAACTCAATGATGATCATCACAAAGTACATGATGCCCATTTCAGCCAGTGTCAACACCCTTGCCTGGCTGCCTGATGCGCCTGGGATGTTTGTGACGGGAGGTAAGAGATGCATAGTCTTGCATGGGCTTTGCCTTTGTGGGATATTTTTGTGTGAAATCTCTCCATTTTACATTTGCAGCCATGTTTCTAGTATGTGTCTAAATTAATTACTTTTTGCATCTGCAAAGTGTATTGATTTATCCCAATAGTATCTTCCTTATATATATACATGCATTATATCCTCTTTCAGATGCAGAGAAAGGTATTCTCAGGGTCTGGACTGTATCCAAACCAACACCTATTGAGAATATTGTCTTGAAAGACACAGGTTTCCATGTCCTTTGTACAACAAGAGCCCTTAATGCTGCGTATCCCAGCAGTGACAAGCAGAACCAGTTGATTGAACGTTCAAGCGAGAGGAAGGGCATCATGATCCCCAATGTATGCGTTCTGACACTATTTAAAGATGGGGGAGTAGGTCTGTACCACCTAAGGAGAAAGCAATGGATCTTTAACAGGGAACACGTAAGTACTTGGAATTGTTGTTCCTTATTTGAAAAGAAGGAAACTGGCATGTAAATTACACTGGAGATGGAGAACAATGTTTAACAAACAGGATTTATCATAATTTTTCAAGCAATTGGAGTTGTGGTTATGATATGCAGAAAAAAGAATGCTATCAGTGTGAGAGTATTTTGTATCAGTGTGAGAGTATTTTGTATTTAATTTTGTATTTTGTATTTTTATTAGATATGGATAGGATAGAATTGCAATGGATGTAAAACTAATATGAGAATATGCCCATATAATAATATAGTCACTTTATAGAATGGTAAATCAATGTGATTTTTACAAATACTACCTTCCATACAGGGTCACACTGAAACGATATTTGACTGTAGCTTCAAGCCTGAGGACAGTGACCTTTTAGCAACAGGATCCTTTGATGGGTCAATAAAGATATGGAAAATTGACACCATGGAAGCAGTGAGTATTTTGAGCATTTTCTTATTTCTCAAGGGAAAGAAGTGCTTGGAAGATTTATAAATGGATATAGGCCATTTTAATGAAGTTTCATCTGATCAAGATGTCTGTTGGAGCAAGTGATATTGATACAGTATACTGGATAGATTACTCTAATAGGTATTTACTTTTTAGGTGTAATATTAATTCATCTCATTACTATTTTATTGAAATTATATAATTTCTCATACTTCTATGAAAAAAATCACATATCATATGTCCTTTGTATATTATTAAAAAAAGAAAAAGAAAAAGATTTATAATATATTCATGTGATTTATATCTTGCTTGAGTTTTATTAACAGACGAAATTAGTCAACTGATGTAAAGTAAAGCCTTCCAAAATGTTAATAACACATCCTTTTCTCCATAGGTTGATACATTGCCCAATAGAGACACCATCATCTACAGCTTATCATGGGCACCTGCAGACCTTAATTGCATTGTAGCAGGAACTTCTGGGGGCGAAGTCTTTATCTGGGATGTTGGCAAGCACAAAATCCTCCAAGATATTATATCACATAAGGACAAAAAGGTGTTTTGTGTGGCATGGAATCACAAGGACTCCAGGAGAATAGCATCGGCAGGTAAGAAGTAATGAGAGAAATGGAAAGTAATCTTGAACATCAAAATCACTTTTTGAATAGCAGAGTGATTGGTGAAGAAAGAGAGTATGCATTTATAATGATGAAATAGATGTATGAGCTACTTATAGTATCTTACTTGTGGATTCAACTTTGAGGAATAGCTCTCATGTGATAGCTGTGTTTTGGATAACCATTAACAGTTATCACAATTATGGAATCATTGCATATGATGTCATTACTTCTTATATTGTATTACTGCCTTATTTACGATAAGTACTACATGATTTCCCATTACAAATCACTACTTTGGTGGACATTATAGGAGAATCTGGATACTGCTATGTGCACCAAGTGAGTGGTACCCTGGTGCACGACTATCGACACCCTGGACCGGTATATGGATGCGACTGGCGTGATGCAGATATTTTAGCTACAGGTTGTGAGGATGGAAAAATTAGAATTTTTAATGTTAGCAAGAACAGAAAGGAACCTGTTAGTGAACTGAAAGGTATTTATTTATTTCTGTTTTGTTCTATATCTAGTTTTGATAGACAAATTACATCCTGTCTATTTACTTTGCCAAAGTATTGTTAGCCCCTAAAGAGTGGTTTAGAAAGAATTATGTATTGATATTTATTATAATATTATCCTAGTGTATCATATTTATTAGGAATATGTTACAATTCTTCAGCTGCAATTATCATATCAATTAGGAATATGTCACAGTTATCATTTAATCATTGCAGCTCACTTGAAGAAGGTATTTCGGGTAAAGTGGAACCCAGTTTACGAAGACATCCTGTGTAGCGGTAGCGATGATTCGTCAGTGAGGATATGGTCGTACTCAAAAGCCCAGTGTCTGACTATCCTCGTTGGGCACTCAGACAATGTCCGTGGCCTCGCATGGTGCCCAGAGGTGCCCTACTTGCTCATTTCGGGGTCATGGGACAGGACGATGAGGGTGTGGGATGCTCGATATGCCAATTGCCTTGATGTTGTCTTGGACCATGGTGCTGACGTTTATGGTAAGGGATTTGATGGTCATGCAGTGATTGATTTATGGAATATCAAAAGAAAAAGAAAGACAGAAAATATTATATACAAATACTGTGTAATAGGTATTAGCTATTGCCAGATGTGGTAGCTGTCAATACCTTTTATATTTATTTGTCCTATTTATTGCTATAAGATTAGAATATACATTTCTGTGGATGCTAAACTGTATACACTATTTCTGTTATTTTGAATAGTTTTGATATATGACTGATGGTGGGTTCAGACAGTGTCCTGTGTAATTAGATATTTCCAAAATTATAATGTGTTTGGAACATATGATAAGTTCACAAAATAATAAGTTATTGATTTTGAACTACATAAATCTCACATACCTTCTTCTGTTGTTTATACAGGCCTGAGCATCCACCCTATTCGTCCATTTTTGCTGGCATCGTGCTCAAGGGATTCAACAATGCGCCTGTGGTCTTTAGCATCCTTTGTGGCTCCCCTGCAGCTGAAGGTGCTTGCGGAGAAATCAACAGAAGAAATCATAGACGAGACAGGTGATAATGTCTTACCTGAAAATCTCGTTGTTATGTGAGAGATTATGACAAATATGGGAGAGAATGAGACAGACAGGTAGATTTGGAGAATGATAAGCCTTTATATTGTGCTTTCCTTGTGTATGTATATTTTACCCTGCCTTTTTCTTTTTCTTTTTTCCTTCTCTTAGTCTTACCTTGTCTACTTCCCATCTTTCTCTCTTACCTCCCTCCCATATCTTATTCCCTTCTTCCTCCCACCTCTCTCCCTCTCTATCTCCCTTTCACTTCCTTCCTGTCTCCCTCTTGTTCCCTTCTTCCTTCCTTCCTTTTTACTTGTCTCCCCTTTTTCCTCTTCCCATCCTCCCTTTCTCCTTATCACCTCTCTACCTCGCTCTCTCGCTTCCTCCTTCCCTCCCCCTCTCTCCTCACCTCCCTTTCTCTGTCCTTTTTGCCTCCCTTCTTTTCTCCCTCTCA